GTCTTAGGCTGATCCCACTATCATCACCACAAAGTACTGTAATATTGGCTGAATAAAAATGCACGGAGGGTTGGAGCTTGAAATAAAATATTTTGAAGTAATTTAGTTACTGTAGGTAATTACCATGGGTAGAGAATAATGCAATGAGTAGTTACAAGGCTAGAGTAACAGTAATATAACAAATAGCTACCTTGTTGCTCCCAAATGATAATGGCAACCTTGTTACTTAGAATTAATGTGTAATGCAAGGGGTGAAATTTTGTTGTTTAACATATTAACATAGTAAGCCACACTAGAATGGGGCCATTGAGTCAGTGGGGATTTGGTGAGCCAACTTCTGTGTAAATTCCTTTGATTCAAATGGGTCTGCTTTAGTTGCGTTGGTAAAGTAATGTAAATTATTTTCCCCATGGAAATTCGTGTATGGATCTGTGGTTGCCCAATAAGCGCATGCAGTGGTCCCAGTGTTCTGTTTTGTGTGCCCCATATTAATTCTGAATGCCCTTCAAGCTCCCAAGAATAGAAGTGTTTCTTACAGTTGTGCCCTGTTTTGAATAGTGGCAATGTATAGCCCAGAACCCAAAGCTATTCCATATATGCTAAAACTCTCTGTAAAATTATGTTGAAGTTTCCTGTTAGGTTAAGCACCTTCCTTTTGAGACGTTCTTTGTAATTGCTCCATCTGCTGGTGACAAGAAATCAATGACAGCAGAGAAGCAGGGCATTGCCCTCCTAAATTCTCCCCTTACACTCTGGTTCTTAAAACAGATTTCTTAACACAGTCCCTAACGAATGCATGGAAGAAGGGTGGTGGTGGCAAATTCTAACGAAAGGTTAGGGTGGGGTGAGAATTCTTTTAATGGTCAGCTCCTGATATCCTCTGGTCCGGATCTGGATCAAAGGGTTCTATACTTCTACGAGCATTAAAATCTTAAAAACAAAATAAATAAAAACATGGGATGGGGGCATCGAACATTAAAAGCATCATGTCATTTGACTCTTAGTGCCAAGGGTTCCTTTTGATGGACATATTGCTGACAGATGCATTTTTGTGATTGTTGTTGGAAATTACTAGTTTTATTTTATAAGTACAGTAGATCTATATTAATATTAACATTAACATTAACATTAACATTATTATTATTATCATCATCATCATCATCATCATCATCATCATCATATTTATTTATTTATTTATTTTATTGGATTTCTATCCCGCCCATCTAGACCAAAGGTCTACTCTGGGCAGTTAATACTGTACATAGTTTCGGCTAACTAGATGGGTAGCCTAGCCACATCAGCTTATTGGAGTGAACCAACAATGACTTCTGTGGCACTTTAGAAGTCAGAGAAATACATGATGGCCTAAGTCCACTTCAGCGGATGCATTAGAGGTGTCTTGCTGGGTGTGCATGCAGCATTAAACACCCAACTCTTTGCTTTTAAATTTTAAGTTTTCCATAGGCTAGTGCAGGAGAAGAAGGGCAGACTAGAGGCCAGGAGCAGTTTTTTTTTCTCATGCGTGACATTCTGACATGCAAGGGAAGGGGTGAACTCAGGGGAACAGCACATAGTTTGCTTGCAGAAAATCTCTGGTTCAATTCCCACCATTCTGAAGCTTTTCTAAGATTTCTGCTTGAAATCTTGGGGAATGTCTTCTTGTCAGTGTAGTTCAGGAATGGGCTCTTGGACCACAGTTCCAATCTTTCCTCTTCACTCACTGTGTTGGCTAAAGTTGATGCATACCCTGGTGAAACTGGATAGCAAGGGCCACAAGTTGCCCACTGCTGCTACAGACAATAAGAAGCAGGTCAGGCCAAGTAAAAGACAGCTTGCCATGCATTCCGCTCATCAGTCAAGATAAATCTTGCTTCCGTTCTCCATGAAGTGCAGAGGAAAACAACTAGAGTTTCATACCTTTCTACACTGCGTATTTAACCATTTGGTGACCTGGTTGTTGACGTTATCTTTCCAGGGGCTGGTTGGTTGGTTGGTTGGTTGGTTGGTTGGTTGGTTGGTTGGTTGGTTATTCATTCATTCATTCATTCATTCATTCATTCATTCATTCATTCATTCATTGGATTTCTATCCTGCCTATCTAGACCAAAGGTCTACTCTGGGCAGTTAAGAAACTCTTTCCATAACTCTGACATCTTTGAGAATATAAAGAAACATTTTTGGGGGTGCAAAAAGGACACTAATATAATTTAGACTCTGATTATTTTATCCACTCCACAAATGGCACATCCATCTTTAGAACTGATCGGGCCATTCTCTGATCAGGGGTTTTACAGCCACAGGCAAGGACAAGAAGACTCCCCACCTTCCGTGTTCAGAAGAGCTGCATTTCACTCCAGTGAAGTGGTGTCCTTTACAAATCAGGTAGCTTCTCATGACTGGGGGGGGGATAATCTACATTTTCTTTAGGACGTTGGAGAGAGGCAGCCTTATCTTTCCTCACAACAGGGTCTGCAAGAGGAGAGGGCAGTAGTGCTCTGTTTTAGCCCTTCTCTTTCTTTCTACAGCAGCAACAACAAAAAATGACCCATGAGATTTAGCAAATGGGATGACACCCTGACGCAACAGAGACAAGTCAGAGAAAACCGGCTATGCACATTTGAAATTGTATGTGTCAATAGCCACTAGATGGTGCCATTAGAGACAGAACTGCTTTAAGGGGAAGAATACTTAAATCAGGGATGTTCAATGTAAATCTGATAACATCTTTGCTGCAGACTGTATATAAGGATGCTTGTCATTTGTTATCTTTTCACAATTCCCTGCATATTTCCATTTTATCCTTAGAGAATAAAAACCTATAAATGCTGATTATCATCACCTAATCTCAATGAAATCTGTGCCCAACCTTTTCTAAAGGTAGTGGTTAGGTAATGGAATAATTAAAGAGAAAAACCTAAAATGTTCAATGGAAGCATCAGTTAAAATACAAGCTGAAATAATTCCTATTTCCTGCAAGGTCTTAACTTGCCAAGAGAGAAAAAGAAAGCACAGGATGGGGAGGGAGAGTGCATTTTTACTGTACCTCTTGGCTTGCCTTTCTAAGTGAACAAAATCTCCATTCTTCTTCTTTGTGGTCTCTGTGAATGCACACGCTGGGTTAAGTTTGCATCTTTTGAAGTTCTAGGAGCCACCTACGATGCCTCTCCAGATAACCTTTTGCTGCCTGAATACAGCACATACATGAAATAATCGTGAGAGGGTGTAATTGCTTCATCTCAGGAGGAGGCAGTTAGGAGCCAAGCTGTGTGGAAGAAGGCCACCAGCTTAAATTGTTTCTCAAACACAAAGTCCCATCTTCTCATTTTTCATAACCCAATCAAGGATAGCTTGAGTCGCCATGCAATGTTTTGCGGTAATTTAGGTCTCTATGCTTCATGCAATGGAGGTGTACTTGTCTTGACTAGTTCATAGTAGTCTTTACCAGTTCCTCCAAACTACTACATGCCATCACCCTTTCACAATTCATAATGTGAAGAAATTACAGAATGGTATCCAAATGGCTCTTTGAGTATGCATAGGGCTTTACAAAGAAAAGTCCTCTTATGTCTAGGGTCATCAGAAGATTGTTCTTCATTTCAAAGCGCCTTGTGGTTGAAGTCATCTCTGCCCGAACAGGTCCTTGAAGCTGCTCATCAACAGAAACTCTGGTAACCCTCAGGAGAGGGGAGGTTGGAAACGTTCCCAAACACAGTATCTCTCACTATGGTGAAGTCAAATATTCAACAGTATCCAGTCACTTATTGACCCTGCATGGAATGGTCCATTGTGTGAGTGGTTCCTCTTTCCTCATTGCTGGCACAAATGGGGGAATCCACCGAGCATTTTGGGCAAATGGAAATCCCTGATATTGTCAATTGTATGGTCTCCAGTTTCTTTATCACTGGCTGGGGATTAGCAGAGAAAAGATGGAGTACAGTACTCTGGCCATGGAGCCTCTCTGTTCCCTGCTTGCCAACAGGACTCCGGTGATGGTATTTACATTTAAAATACATATGGTAATTATTTGCAGATATTCATCTTTATATATAATCACTATTTGTAAATTTTATGTACATTATGTGGGGGTTTTTTGGTTGGTTGGTTCTGTTTTGTTCTTTTGGTGACATATAAGTGGTCACTCTGAAACTGTGCCAGTGGTGGAGTTTTAGGACCAATTGGCAGGGGCAAGGGGACGGAAACCAGTCCTGCAGGGGTTTGTGGCTTCAGCTTTCGAGTGGCCTGCTAGTTGGCACGTCTCTACCCCAAAAATTGGAGTTAACCAACAGCTGATGATGAAAGTACACCCCTCTTTCCTGGTATTAGAGTTCTTTCACTCCTGTCGGTTGATAAATACAATTGTTAGTGCCAAGCAGACTATATTAATTGAGTGAATGGGGCTTGCTAAGTCAAGATGTAGAAAGATCCCATTGTTCCAATGGATCTACTCTAGTTGGGACTAATAACTGTATTCCATTCTCCCCAGTTATTCCCAACTTCAGCCATTGGACGCATCAGTTAGTTACGAATCCACTCACTACTACTAGTGACTGGATGGCTTCTCAATCAGATACTAAAATTAAGATACAGCTGCTTAGGTATAAGCAGCTCCTTCTTTATTGCAGCATATATTCACAGTTCTGCTTCTATGAAATGAAAACTTTTATATGTTAAAATTTCACAAATATGCCAAATAGGGCAATTTTACATGCTCACCCAATTATGAATGAAGAATTTTGTATTGCTAAAGTAGTAAAATATCTTTAGGTTTGATAGGAAAATAAACATGGCATGTATTTCATTTTCCCATACATTTTTGTATTATGCTTTTAAAAACCACACACCTCATACCTCAAAAGCTGCTGAAAATTTTGCATCTCTAGCTATTGGCACATCCAGATGAGAAGGAAGTCATCCGCTCGAGCTCCTGTCTGCCTGGGAGGGGTTGCTTGTTTGTGCTTTGGTGCGTCCAGTTCAATCTTCTGCTCTTGCTCACTTTGCAGGAGTCAGTGAAATGGGTCCCCAAGTCTCCTAAGCTACATGGCAGCCACAACTGGAACTCCCAAGGCCATCGCTGGGGTTCTCTGAAAGGGAAGGAGAATGCACCAGGAGGCACCCTATACAAACTGAGCTCTGCCAATGAAAAATGGAAAGAAGGACGCATCAGTCCTGAACAGGAAGCTGAGGAGCTGGAAGATCCTGACGAGGATGTAAGTTCCACCCCAGTGTTGTGTGCCCTGTGCCCCTCCTGCTTCCAAATTCAAAAGTAAGGATACCATCAGAATAATTTCATATCTAATCATTCATGATCTATAGTATCTATAAATTGCTTTTCTGCCACTAACAGCATTAGCTTATCCTTAACAGTCAGTAAAACTGATACCATGTTTTTCATTTGGTTCTGTCTCAATTGTCAAACATTCCAAAGAGCTGTATTTTGTGGATTTATGTAGGATGGTTTTTATTTGCATGCTGTCCGAGAATCGCTCTTCTCTTATACATATCTTCTGGAAACATATAATGCATGTAGACCAGAACTAGCCCAGTAGTGTTGCAAATGTTCTCAGCCATGTTGACAGCTGTGTACTTCAGGCATGCTGCTCCCTCACTCTCAAATATTGCCTGAAAGAAAGGCTATCTGGCACTCCTGGGTGGACGTGTATTTTAATGACAGGCAGTGTTTGCGTAGTATGGTAGGAAACTAGCAGATCAGCGTGCTCTTTCCCCCCGGCCTTCACAGCCGATTCCGAGACTGGTTGTTGATTTGTAACAATGGAGCTTTTGTTTGGATCACCGACAAGCCTGTTTTGATGCATGCTTGCAAATCCTAGTATACTTCCCCCAAAAATTTATTTTACCTTTTTAAAATGTAGAGGTATGTAGGAGGAATTGGAAACACTGACTGTGGATGGATAGTAACAGCTTTTGTGTGACTTCCACAATAAAACCATTATGCCTCTATATATCCAGGTTTTTGATGAAAACACCTTATTCCAGACTCAAGACCTTATTGTGATTCATGAAGTTAATTAAAGCTAGCTATAGTTTGTAGGGATGTGGTGGTGCTGTGGGTTAAACCGCAGAAGTGTCTGTGCTGCAAGGTCAGAAGCCCAGCCGTCGTAAGATCGAATCCACACAATGGAGTGAGCTCCAGTCACTTGTCCCAACTCCTGCCAACCTAGCAGTTTGAAAGCATGTAAATGTGAGTAGATAAATAGGTACCACCATGGTGGGAAGGTAATGGTGTTCCGTGTCTAGCCGCACTGGCCACGTGACCATGGAAACTGTCCACAGACAAAACGCTGGCTCTATGGCTTGGAAATGGGGATGAGCACCGTGCCCTAGAGTCGGACACAACTGGACTAAATGTCAAGGGGAACCTTTACCTATAGTTTGTATGGCAAACTGTGGCAAGCTCAGGTTAAAACGGGAGTGCACCCTTTTCACTGTATGTAATATATTGGTTATCCTTATCGTGGGGTATGTCACTTGCCTCCCTTTATTAAACCCAGACTGATTGTTACATGTATAGCTGTCTAAGAGTTTATTTAGTTTACTAGCCAAGACTGACTTCATATCTTAAAAACAGATTCAATATAGATATTGCTTTTACTGATGATGGGTCTTTATCTGTGTCTGAGAATACAATTGTTTTTGTTTGTTTCTCTGTTTCTGGCATCACTAAACACTCCATTGCACATCTTGCAGTCTGTACCAGGGTTCTATAATAGAGATGGGCATGAACTGTCACCACAGTGGCTGTGACGCTTCATGGTCTGTCAGCGTCCATGAACCAGGAACTATGCAGAATTTTTAAAAAACAAACAAACAGGTTCATGGCTTGTTCGGGTGAGGCCCGACTCTAAATGAAGGGGGGCTTTCTGTGTAGCTCAGGCACAACGAAAAACCCCATTCATGGGGTTCCTACTCCGTACGCCCCTTCATCGGATCCAGCACTGACCTTACTTACTTGCTCCAAGCTTCCTCCAGGCCCCCGCTGCCACATTGCCCACCTGAGTAGGCTTTCGGAGGCCTCCTTCCTGCCCCAGGACTTTCTGGGATGCTTAGGATATGGGCAGTAGAACCACACTTCCCACAATATCCTAAGTCTCCTAGGAGGCCCTGGGGCAGGAAGGAGGCCCCAGACAGCCGACTGTCCTTACCCAGCGGAGCAATGGTGGCAGAGGAGAGGAGGAGACCTGAGGGGGAGGCTTTTTTTGGGGGGGGGGAACGAAGTCAAACAAAACGCCAATGATGAAGAAGTTCAGTGTTTTGCTTTGTGAAAGTGAGGTTTCCCAAATGACCCACAAAATGAACCATGGATTGGCCCAGTTTGTGGGTGTTTTTTTTTCTTGGTTCATGGTTTGTTTTCTGCCCATCTCTAGTCTAGAAATCTTCTCTATCATTATTGTGTAAAAAATTGGAGAGAAAACTACCTACACTCGGAGCTTAGGCACTTTTTAAAGTGATTTTTAAAGGTTGGTTATCCTGTTAAAGAAAAACAAAATAGGAAGCGAGCCACTTGGTTCAAAAATCATTGTTGCATGTGACAAGGATCATTTGGCACTATATCCCCTCGCCCCCCGTTTTTTGGTTCTGACTTAAATTTCAAACATTCTGTATTGCAGTATCCAATAAGTCTGTGTCTTTCAGCTTCTAAGGTTGTTACAGCTATATGGCCAGCGGGGCTTGGGTGGGGTGGGAGAACAAAGCTTGTGAGCTTCAACTTTACTTTGTGATGCTGAATGGTGCCCAAGGCTTGAAAAATTACTTTTTTCGATGACAGCCTTTCCAGATCTTTCAAGCAGAATGTCTCCATAGTCTGAAGAAGTATCGTATTCATGCTTTGCCCATGGCAGTTATCAATCCATAACAGGCACTGGCATTTTCTAGGGTTTTTTTGTACAACTAAATGTTTTAGTGTTGCATGTGAACACAGCCACTGTATAGAGAGATGCAGTTAGATTTTTTGTTTATGGTGGTTCCATGTTGTTGTTTTTTGTGTCTCTTTTGCTTTACCAGGCAATTTGGCTGTGTGTTTGTTATTTTTGTTTTAGGTTTGATATGGTATACCACTTCTTTTTTCCAGTTTTAATTGATGTTCCTTGTTCCCAAAAATGGTTACTTTTACATAAAAGGTAAAGGTAAAGGTTCCCCTTGGCAATTTTTGTCCAGTCGTGTTCGACTCTAGGGGCGGTGCTCATCCCCGTCTCCAAGCCATAGAGCCAGCATTTGTCCGAAGACAAGCTTCCGTGGTCACATGGCCAGTGCGACTTAGACACGGAACACTGTTACCTTCCCACCGAGGTGATCCCTATTTATCTACTTGCATTTGCATGCTTTCGAACCGCTAGGTTGGCGGGAGCTGGGACAAGCGACGGGCGCTCACTCCGTCGCGTGGATTCGATCTTACGACTGCTTGGTCTTCTGACCCTGCAGCACAGGCTTCTGCGGTATAGCCCGCAGCACCACCACGTCCCATTACTTTTACATAGCAAATGTAATATCAAAGTTGTTAGTATAGCTGATGCATTGGGACAATTCTTCTTTCAGTTGTTGTTTGTTTGTTCCCTAAACCAAACAGGAGCCCATCTCCAAATTCTCTGGGAGTCTTTTTGACTCTAGTGATAACATCCGGGATCAAAGAACCCCTAGAGCTGGTCTTCAGCAGGAGAAGCAGAAAGCAGGACCAAAGGGAAAACCCTTTGCAGCAGCTGGCAACAGACAGCCGGTTCCACCAGAAGCCACAAACAGCACCCTAGTAGATGATGGCAAGTTTTCAAAGGAGAACAAGGACCAAGGCCCAGGAGCTGCAGATGCCACCCAGCCGCCTTTGAAGGTAACTCTTCATCCTGAAGCAATGTTTGCACCTTCCTTCTAGAACTGAATGCTTCTCAAAGGACCGTTTGTACCTACAAGGCCTATTCCTCCTCTTTACCAGAGTCACAGGGCAAGCCAAGATTTTCAACTTCTTACAAGGCAACTGTGGCAGAGAATGGTTGGAACTGAATCCCCATAAGGGTTAATGAGTGTTGAAGGATTCTTCTGTGCTGGTGGAGATGTTTGGGAGAAAAAGCTCATCCTGTTTCTAGGGAAGTCATCTCCAATTTCACAACCTCTAGATGTTTAAAGCTACCAAGCCATCATGAAAGGCTCCAGGTTGGAAGTGTCTATTCTTTTTTGAACCAGGGCAGGAGTCTCCCACCTTTGATTTGCAGGAGTAAAACTATTCAGACAGAGATACTATTTCTCATGTTCATGCCTGAAAAAAGCATAGTGCTAGGCCAGGCGTTTTCTCCTCATCACCTCTTGCTCCTGGTGGTAGTCATATCCTTAATCTACCTCTCTTGTTTCAAATGTCTGACATCAAGTGTTGTCTTTTGAATTAAGAATAAGTTGAACCTTTAGAGCAGGAGCAAAGAAACTTTGGTTCTTCATATGTCTTGGACTTCAAACTCCCAAACACCCCACTCAGCATGGTCTACGGTCATGTAGTACTGGAAGTGTGGTGCAAAACATGCCAAAGGCCAGAGGATTCTCACACTTGCCTTATGAAGCAAGGATCAAAGCATACATATTAAATTGGCATCTTGTGCTGGTTTATTTAGTAACATACAGTATCAAAACAGGCTTGACTCTAGTCCCCATCCGCCCCAGCCACCATGGTCAATGTTGGTGGGTTATGGGAGTTTTAATCAAAGAATATCTGGATAGCTACAGTTTCTCCATTCTTTACAGATACAACACACACACACACACACACACCTTGGTTGTCCAAGGGGAATACATTGTGATCTCTGACTTAGTTTTGACAAGCCAATGAATCATAAGCCCATTGCACAGTACTACAAGATGTAGGAAACTGAAGGGAGAATGGGTGGGAGTATCAATATTTGGTAAGCTCATGTGGGAGTGACTGGTGATGGGGTGGCAGCTTTGGCACTGCTTCCGTGCTATTGGCATAATAAGCATCAGAACTGGGAGGAAGTTCCAGAGTCTGGGAGCAGCAACAGAAAAGGCCCTGTCCTGTGTCCCCACCAAGCGCAGCTGTGAGGGTGGTGGGACTGAGAGAAAGACCTCCTCTGATGATCTTAAAGCCTGGGCAGACTCAGAGAGGGAGATGTGATCGTTGGGTTAGTTTGGACCAAAACCATTTAGGGTTTTATGGGTCAAAACCAGCCCTTCGAATTGTGCCTGGAAATGGATGGGCAGCCAATGGAGCTGCTGTAACAGGGCAATTGTGTGATTCCCTGTCTCCAGTCCCAGTTAACAATCTGGAATTTTTGACCCACTGAAGTTTCCAATTACTTTCCAAAGGCAGGGCCATGTAGAGTGTATTACTGGAGTCAGTGTGGCCAGATCAGACATTGCCCAGGTCACGTGCCGCTGGCACACATGTATTAAATGTGCAAAGCCACTCCTGGCTCCTGCTGAACCCTGGGCATCCGGCTTCAGAGATGAATCTGGTAGTACACCCAAGCCATGCAACTGTGTTTTCCTGGTGACAGGCTGCGTCCCTCCTGTTCCCTGATCTGCCTTTCTGTCTTGTCTGGATTAAGTTTCAGTTTATTCATCCTGATCCAGTCCATTCTTGATTCCACACAAGATTTAGAACTGAAACAGCTTCCTCGGCTTTAGATGGAAAAGAGAGATACGAGTTGGTTTTCAGCTAGCTGTTTGCATTGCACAGGCTTCCGGTTCTGTGTCACTGAATTTTTTTTTTAAGTGAATAGCTGCAGCCCAGGCCCTGTGAGTCCTTCTTTCATTTTGAACTGAGCAGTGCTATGCATGTGTACCTAGCTTAGGTTTCATTAGCTGTTTGCGTGTAACTGTCCAGTCAATATTAACTATAATTCTCTTCCAGATAACGATTACTGTGTGCAGTCAAATGGGGAGTCTTGGTATTAGCATTGCTGGTGGAAAGGGCTCATCTTCATGTAAAGAAAATGAAGAGGTGCATTTTATTGCTTGCACATTTCCCCAATTGTAATCCTTTTTGTGAGACATCGAAATAGTCATGCACTGAAGCTAGATCTGTCCTGCCATAGTCTCTTCTCTCTCTGGAAGTCATTAGTGGTGTATGATGGTTGCATGAACAAGAAGAACAAAAAGCTTGCCTGCTGCTGAATCCCAGAATAATAAAATATTTTATTAGATTTATTATCACAATTTGTTTTAAATGGAATGAATAAAAATTAATATCCAAAAAGGCACACATTAGAAAATGCCATTGTCATTTTTCCACCTGAATTCAAGGTGACTCCATTTGAAGTTTACACACAAATGCAATGACTTTTTGTCCCACCTGCTCATTTTACAGCCACATTTTCCTTTTCAGGGCTCTTCTGTGTTTGTCTGTGTGCATGCATTTGTGCACATGTATGTGCTAGTGTCACAGGTCATTCCTAGTCACCCTCTCATTCTTTCTTATCGTTTCAAATTGTCCTTCCTTCCCTATAGATAAAGCAAACCGTTTTCTCCCATTCTGTTCATGGTTTAACCCTAATAACCAACAGAGGTTGAATAATTCTTCTCTCTCTTTTTTTTTTACAGTTTATTTCCCCACCAAAATAATTGCATTCCATGTTGCAAAACTCCCCAACTCTTTTACACCAGTAAAAGATTTGTCCTTGTGGCTGTCACTGCCACGACCTGATCAAACTCCCCGTATGCTCCTCCACACAGTTGCCTGCAGTCATCTTGAGGCGCCTGGGCCCCTTCCCCAGTCTCCACTTCACTCTGTGAAAGATCTTTATTTTAGCCTTTCGGTAGAACCTTTAGACAACGCTGGCGTTGCCACCACCAGTTCCTTAGCAGGGAACATGCCAAAAGATATATATTTCTCTTCTTCCTTTCCCAGCTTGTTTGAGCTGTAACCAAGAAGCCAACATGGGTGAATATAGAATGACTGCCATGAGGAAATAAAGAGAGTTTGAATATACAAAAAAAGTGTTTTTATTTGTTTGGAACAGAATGGATCATATAGGATTGGAACAACAAAGAATAAAAACAGGATAAAGATCTTTCATAGTCTTTTACAGAATTCTAAATTCTCAATCTACATGTAACCTAACTTCATCTCCCTACTCATCTCACTCTACTGCACTACTCATCATTTACTCCTTGTACTCACTCACTCAGTCACCCACGCACCCACCCTCGCTCTCTCTAGCACTCACTCACACGTACACCTTAGACTGGGGAAAACAGCCAGTGAAACATTTTCTCACAGTCCCAACAACTGCCACAATGGTCACACCTGTCATTTCATCCAGTACTCTCCTGTCAATCATCACATTCATCCCATTATGCCAACAGCACACTTATTTGTAGACACAACATCCTCAAGCAAATTATAAAGGGAGGAACAAAATAATCTTACATAGCATTAGGAGTGACTCCTTTTTTTGCACCTTGAAATGTCTAACAAACTCAATAAACCTTTAGGTCTGACATGTTCTTCTCTTTGTCGCCAGGGAATTTTAATCGCACACGTATCCAAAGACAGCCCAATAGACGTGGCTGTAGTGCCATCTGAAGACAAAGTGTTGGAGGTACAAGAATGCCTGGTTTTGTATTTTGCTGTATTGATTTTTATTGTTAAAAGTGGTTCAGTACAGAATCTGCATCTGAAGCAAAATGCAAGAAACAAACCATCTTTGGGAAAATAAAGCCAATATTGGCTACATGGCCACGGACTGTCTGCTTCCAAAGTTGTATTTCAGCAGGTGATCTGCACACAGGGGAAAAAAATGCCTTTCTTCCTTTGTGAAAAGATTTCCAGTAGAATCCCTCCCACAATAAAATAAAATTAAAAAATCATTCAAAGATTGACTTAGGAAAGAAGTGGAGTTAGAGCACCACTGCAGCTAAGTAAACTATAATCATACTCTTTAATTCTTTCAATGCATTTGCATCAGTCATGAATTCTCATCATTGATTTTGGGTTTGTCGAAAATTCAACCAAAGACTCACTTAGGGGTAGGGTGGAGGAGAAATAAACTTATATACTGTGTAGGTGTACTTTTTGCCATTTATCCATGTAATCTTTGGAAATTTAACAGGAACAGTTGTTTCATTTACACGCTGACAATCTAACTAAGTCCAGAAACAGATGTCAGAGATGGCTCACAATTAGAGCAGAAAGCTGGTTAATGTCACAGAGGTGCCATCTCTCTGTATTTGTCAATTCAGACTTCAGGGAAATTCCACGCATAAATTCTGAAGACCAAACATGAAGTAAGCTAACCTGTGAAAGAAGGCTGTGCTGTGATATTCAGACATTCCTATTAGATAAGAATATCCCTCTGCCAGTCATGGGCAACCTCTAGCATGTTTTTCTGGCCTGAACTTGAAATCTTACACCACCTAATGGGAAGAAAACCTAATGAGCGCAGTGAGACAAATATCTGCACAACAACCCACTGAATTAATCAACAGAGGTCCAACTTTGTTCAGTAGCAGTCTATTCATAAGCATTTCCCCCTTCAGTGTCATATTTCCCCCTGTGTCAAAATTTAAGGCAGTAGCCCTCAACTTTAAAAGATACAGCTGCGTTTCTATAGACCATGAAGAAATATTTTGTGCTCATTTTGGGTGTGTAAAAGTGAGTAGAGAAAAAGAATATAACACTTGTGAATGTCACTTCTGTGACAATCCTTGAATTAAAATCAATGATAAAATTTACTTGTAACTAATCTAAGAATGCTGGAATTTAGAGCAAATGCTGGAATTTCAGCATTTGCTCTAAATATGGCCTTGATCTATAAATAAATATATTTCCTTCATTCCAAGAGATGGCACAGTTAACAGAAGCACTATTTCTTGAAAACATGGATACATAATGTAAGCAAGACACAAATGTGTTTTATGTATGTCCCAAGATATTGATTCAAGATGAGGCAAAAGGATCATTGGGTTTGAAGCTGCCTGCAGGGGGAGACATAGCTTAGTCAACAGACTTAAGCTCTGGGCATGAACAGCACTCATTTTATTGCTCCTGTGTCCAACAAAGTGCAATGGCTTCTAATTTTGGGTTTCCAGATGTGGCTGAGCTGCAGCCCCAGAACCCATGAATATTGGCCATATTGGCTGAGATCTCTGGGCAGTGAAGAACAACAATATTTGAGGGTCCTAGCTTGGGAACCATAAATTGAAGTGTATTGATGCTGAGCTTGGAAAACATTTCATAGAATCATGGAATAATTGAATTGGAAGGGGCCTAATATGACCATAAAGTCCAACCCCCTGCTCAATGCAGGAATCCAAATCAAGGCAGATCTGACAGATGGTTGTCTAATTTTCTCTTGAATGCCTCCAGCACTGGAGCACTCACCACCTCCCAAGGTAACTGGTTCCATTGTTGTACTGCTTTAACAGTTAAGAGGTTTCTCCTGATATTCAGCCAAAATTTGGCTGCCCTTAGCTTGAGCCCATTATTACGTGTACTGCACTGTGAAATGATCAAGAACAGATCCTGCCCCTCCTCTGTACTTTACAAGTATTTGAAAAGTGCCATTGTATCTCCCTTCAGTCTTTTCTCAAAAGAACACTGGCCAGTTCTTTCAGTCTTTCCTTCATAGTTACAGAGATTGTTGGTGTGACTCAGTAAAAGTAGTCCTGCAGTTCACTGGTCTTTTAACAGGCGACATATAAGCAGCGGAGTCACTAGCTACCTGGTTTAAAATGGGGCATACAAAGAACAGTGAGCAATCATGAAGGAAGGTATCTAAAGCTACAGATAATTTTCACGCCCAACAGCCATGCACATGGTGTGCATCAGAGCTGCTTCCACGAGTCTTTACTCTGCTTTTTCACACCCAAATGAGCCCTATTCGGGCATTATGCCCCAAAGCATGAAGGTTTCAATTTGTGGGGAGCACACATAAGCTGTGCTGTGCTATATTCTCTACCCTGTAAGACAGACCTTTACATGCATGGTGCAACAATCTGCAGAGGTGCTTGTAAGGATGCCCAGCTGAGTGTGCTTGTGACACTCTCATGACAAAGCACTCCAGTTCTGCATGGTTTCCGGTTGGGAGTGCCATGTTCCTCTCAACACGCTTCTCAGCACCTCTGCATGCTTCTGCACTGACTATGCCAAGGTCTGCCTTATTTGCAGGTGGCATGGGGATGTGGGGGGGGGAGAGCTTAAATTCATCCTTACTCTCCCATTTAGCCCTTCACACTTTGAGGCATATTTCCTGAATATGACTACGGTGTCAAGCAGTTGGGCTGCTGTGTGTATATCTGGTTCTCCTCTACCCCCACCTCAAAAAAACAGCTCAGAAATGTCACTTGTTTGGCCTTCTTTGTTAAAAACCAGCTGCAATGGCCACGTGGTATAGAAAAAGGTGCTATTTATTTCTCTCTTCTCTAGCACTGCTAGGCCTTGACTCATGAATCACCTTTTGTGGTGATTCATGAATTTCACAACATCTCCCCATAATCTGAGCGCTTTTCCTCTTAACAATCCACACGTTTGCTCAGGACTACTTGAAGACGTATTGTTGCCTGAGATGGTGGTGCCCCCTTGCCCCTCTGCATATTAGAAGCTTACTCGACTGGTTGCTCAGTCTTATTTAAACACTAGTAACAGGACAGCATCCTTCACCTCTCAAGAGCAGCAGGCTAGATTAAACACAATAGGAAGGTAGTATGAAGAACAGCTGAGAGAAAACTGTTTCTCCCTTCCAGAGGGAGGCAGTGACCTTGTTCTTCCTAATGGTTTGGCTGATGCTGTTTCCGTCCAGTTGCTTTTCCACTTGCTGAGGAAAACTGGTGCATGAAATGCCTAAATAATTAAATTAATTTATTTTGTTTTTTAAAGGATGCCCTTATTTCAGAAGCCAGCACACCCGACTCTGGTCCTGTTGAGGAACCATCTAAAAGTGGCCCATTCCAGAAGATAAATCATGTTATAACAGTAAGTAGTGGAGGATGAAATTAACAATTGTGTTTGAAGAAGTGTTTTTTTTTTCCAACTGAGGTTTTGTCAAAGACAGTTGATTTCTCCCATCCCACCCCTTTTGATCCTTTTGTTTTTGATCCCTGCCCACTGAATGTTAAGCCTCTTATCTGATTCCTGCACAGACTTAAACACAACAACCCACAACCACCAGATGTCAGTGTGGAGTGACCAATATATTAAAATATATTTTAAAAGATGATAGCTGTATCCAGTCATTCCCCCTTTATACAATTCTTTTTGTCCAGGTGAATTGGTGCTTTCAGGCCCCAGGTTCCTCTGTTGCGGTATTGTTACCTTCCAGACATTAAGAAACTGCGATTATGCAAGGAGGAAGCGAATGATGCTAGTGACACACATGACACATAAGGCAGGACCAACAAGCTTGTTCTCTGCTTTCTTCTCCTTGCGCAAAGCTTGAACAAAGTTCAGAGTTCACATTTTTTCAAGAAGGAATACATCTGGTATTAATAATTCATTATGTGCCATAAAACTGGTTCTGACGTATGGTGACCTTTTCCAGGGTTTTCTGGATAGGAAGCACTCAGAACTGGTTTTCCCAATGCTCTCCCTTTGGGACTGCACAGCTTGCCCAAGGCTCTGCAGGCTGGCTGTTCTCCCGGGAGGCACAATGGGAGACAGAACTCTCACCCCTGGCTCTGCAACTTGTACCTCATTCTTTTATGAGTAATATATTATCATTTCTTTATTTACTAAAATACACAGAGAGCTAAGTCCAGCTTGAGTAGACCCACTGAATGTTGAGTGGTGAATCAACCATTATGTAAATCTGAACTGACCCAAAAGAGTTACTCTAATTGGGACTCCCAATAGGATTTTGGCCATTAATAGAATTGAAAAATACTGCAAAATGTTAATTGTTAGATACCAAAAACTGAAACCAAACAGCCATGATGTGTCAAATACATATATGCAACACTCAAAGTATATCTGAGTGTTGAAAGAATATATGACACTGGGCATTTTCAAGGGAGAATTGTCAGCAGCGATTCTTAGATTCTCTTGTGCAATTCATGTCTCTTTTCTTTCCCCTGCACTCTCTTACGGTACTCAAGATACCTCGTATCATTCTAACACGTCCTTCCACATCAGATGAAGATACCGACCAGCTAACACAGGATCCTGACGATCTTGAGCTAGAGGAGACAGAAAACACTGAAAGCCACCTCTATTCAGACTGTTTAAACAATGCTTTTTACCCTCCTTAATAAAATAATTCTTTTTAGAAAAAGAACCAGAACGTCAGTGTATTTCTTGTTGTTTTTCAGTTGCTTGGACAAGAAATTGGAAGCTGTTATGGTGGATGATGAGATACTGAGCTGAGGTCATGGAGAAGGCCTTGGTGTGGGTGGGTGTGTGGGTGTGAGAAGATCTCAAGGTGGCTAGCCCTCAAGGGCAGGTAAGGGAAAGGTGAGTCAGGTAGACCAGGGAGAGGCAAGGCAACTCATGTGGAAGGCACATGGTAGCATTTATTTACATATATTTCAAGTGACACACATATAATTTTACAGCTACAACTTAACACCTAATACAACTAGTTTTAAGCAAGCAATGCAG